CCCTCAATTGCACAAGCCCTTTCCAAGAGTCTGTGCCTAATTTTGTGCTTGTAGTTCTGTATTTTTTCCAAAAGAGGGCTTACAAATTGTATGTGCTGCAGCCCCCACAAAACCTGGATCCAGCCCCCATTATATCAGAAAATTGGAAGCCACAAAGACACCTATCAATTGGGTAATGGCTGAGTAAATTATAGTCTATTTATGTTGTGTAGCTCTACCTAGCCGTTAAAAAGAAGAAAGATCAGTAGGGAGCATAAAATTGTGGCTAAGAGCATAGACTTGGGAGCCAGGCAGCCCAGGTTCATATCCCAGCTCTGTTACATACTGGCTGTGTGACCCTGTGTGGGTTACTCAGCCTCTCTATGCCTCAGCTCCTCCATCTGCAAAACAGAGGTAATGATATTATTTATCTTGCTCAGTTGTTTTGAAGACTAAGCGAATTCATGGGCCAGCCCGTGGCTCACTTGGCAGAGTGTGGTGCTCGTAACACCAAGGCCACAGGTTCGGATCCTATATAGGGATGGCCGGTTAGCTCACTTGAGTGAGCGTGGTGCTGACAACACCAAGTCAAGGGTTAAGATCCCCTTACCGGTCGTCTTTTTAAAAATTTTTAAAAATTTTAAAAAATAAAGACTAAGCGAATTCATACATGTAAAGTGCTTAGAATGGCACTGTATGTTTGCTATTATAACAAAGTACATGCAATTTCTCTTGTAAGTTGGTATAGTGGATTGAATTATGTCCCCCCCACAACTCATTGAAGCTTGAATTGTGTCTCTCAAGTTTTACGTATTAGAAACTTAGCCCCCACTGTGACTGTTAAGAGGGTGGGAAATCCTATCATGGTAATTGAAACGTGGAGTCTCGAAGAGGTGATTGGATTGTAGGACTGTGCAGTAGTGAATGGATTAAAAATGGTGGTCAGGTGCATGGTTCTGAGGTCTTTAAAAGGACAGTGCATGAAGAACTATCTCTCTCTGCTCTCTCTGCAAAGTGAGACCCCTGGGTCACTGTTGCCACCACCAGGTGGACTTTGGACTTCCCCACCTCAGAAACTGTAAGCAATAAATTTCTCTATCAAATACCCAGTTCCATATATTTTGTTATAAGCAACAGAAACAAACTAATATAGTTGGACAGAAATATACAGATGGTTTAAAAGGAGTGGAAATTCTGCAGTCTGTGCCGGAGACTCCTCGCAAATGGTCTGACCTTTCAACCCAGTAATCGCACTCTTGGGAATGTGCCCTACAGAGAAGCCGAGTCTCTTGGGTCGGGGGACTTGAGAAAATGCTTTTTCCTTATGACTTTTTCCCAGCATTTCCGATTTTTCTATCGCGTAGAAAACCTTTTTAAAATGGAAACTCAGGGCCAGCCCGGTGGCACACTGGAGAGTGCACCGCTTGGGAGCGTGGGGGCGCTCCCGCTGAGGGTTCGGATCCCATGTGGAGACCGGTTCCTGCTCACTGGCTGAGCGTGGTGCGGGAGCAACACCGAGGGTTGCAATCCCGTTGCCGGTCAGTAAAAAAGACAAAAAGGAAAAAAAAAAAATGGAAACTCAAACATGGACAAAAATTCCTGAGAAAAAGTGTATGCAAAGATGTTTACTATTATGCTATTAGAAGAGGAAAGAACAGAAACTGCCCAAATGTAGAACAGGAAATAGGTTTTTAAGGTGATGGCAAGTCAGTTAGATATTTCACAGCCCCTAGAAAATCCAATTTTGGAAGAATTTGTAATGATCTGGAGAAATCCTCATGATTTGCCACAGAGAAGTATTAAATAGAGAGGACACACAAGGACATACAGTAGAACCTTGACTGACTTTAAATGATATATTTATATTCACTTATGTATTTATACCTAGGCAGAGAGAAGGCAGTGTCACAGGGCCTGCCTACCCTTGGATGGTGAATTATGGCGGATTTTTATTTCTTTAAATTCACTTTCCTGCATCCTCTCCTACCATCCACTTCCTACCATGCTCTTCATCACTGTGGACACTGGATGGGCTTGGCTGACCTCCATCCATCCTCTTAGCAGAGGCTGGAAGCAACAACCGTACCTGCCAGACTCCCTGGCAGCTGAGATTCTGGACGGAGAATTAGGTTCCAACGATTAAACACCCTCCTGTGGACGTGGACGGAGTGATCCCAGGATCACAGCCTTGTCCAGTGTTCTTGACCTCAGTGGTTTCAGTGGCAGACACAGGGGCGGCACCTCTCTAGGTGGGTCGGTTCTGGGCTGTCCCTCTGGGTATCATTCCTGAGAGCCCAGCCTAGAGCACGCTCCTCCAGCCTCCCATGAGTTTGTAGGCACCCAGTTCCCTGTTCAAAACACTTGGAGTGGTTTCTATTTAGGCTGTGACCCCTGCCTGAGACAATCATGCATTGCTTTTTTACTCAGGAAAATATATATACATACACACACACATACACATATTTATCAGGCTTTCCTAGGCTTCCATATTGAAATGAAATCTCCTGAGGTTGCCAGGGGTGGGAAAGGGGGAGAGGGAGGGGGAAAAGGAGGAATTGGTAAAAGGCCACAGAAATTGATTACAGATATTGCATACTGGTATTGATATTCAATGCTGTACCCCACAGATAGGTACAATCAACTATGTTCCAATAAAATGGAAAAAAGAATCACAGGAGTTTTGACACATTGTTGGTAGTGGTGTCAATTACTACATGTCTGCTCTGGAAGTGTTTAGCATTACTTTGTAATGTAGAACTTGAACATACCCTAAGACTTAGCAATCTTCCTAGGGATACATTCAAAGAAGCTCTTGCTCACGTACATCAAACGATAAATACAAGACATTCCTGTTCACAGAAACACAGTAAAAAACTGAAATCTACCTGAAGTTCATATAAAATAGGGTAGATTTATTTTAAATTGTGGTTTATTCATGCAATGGAAAGCTATACAAAAGTAAAAATGAACAAATCACAGCTATAGTACATCTGTTTGGATAAATCTCACAATGCTGAGATAAAAACTACAATAAATATATACAGTATTATTCCATTTATATAAAGTACAAAAACAAGTAAAACTATACTATATATTTTTTAGGGATACATTCATAGTAAACTATAAAGAAAAGCAAGGAAATAGTTACCTCAAATGCTGGATAATTATTACCTATGTTTGGTAATGAGGGGGAGAGAATAATGGATGAGACTTTGAGTATTAATGGTTACATGAGAGTTTTATCTTATTCCTTAAGCTGTACATTATATTTAATACATTCTTGTTATGTTGAATGTATGTCACAGTAAAATAAAAGTGGAAAAACAAAAACACAATGAAATCACTTTGGGAGGAAATGGGCAGTTCTGCTGGGTTCATTTGTTGGGGGGGGGGAAATAGTGGCACAGCGAAGTCAAGGGGTTTTACTCAAGGTCACAAGGTGTTAAAATTTGTCAAATGCTTTTTGTTTTTAATATGGTGAATCACATTGACTTTCAAATGTTAAACCAACTTTGCATTCCTAGAACAAACCTACATGGCTATGATGTACATATTATTCTTTTTTTACATTGTTAAATATGATTTGCAAAGCTTTTATGAAGGATTTTTGTGTCTAAGTGTGTGTGTGTATTTTTTTTTTTTTTTTCTTGGCAGCTGGCCAGCACGAGGACCTGACCCTCTCACCCTGGTGTTACAACACTGCACTCTAACTGACCTAACCAGCCAGCCTTTCTATGCTTATAAAGGATATTGGCATAGAGCTTTCTTTTCTCACGTTGTCTTGGTTTGGTTTTGGCAGTAGGGTAGTGCTGGCTTCGCAGAATCAGTCAGGAGGTGCCTCTTCTGTGCTGTGGAAGAGTTGATGTTGCGTTGGTATCGTTTCTTCCTTCTGTTTTCGTAGAGGTCACCAGTAAGCCCATCTGAGCCTGTTCTCTTTGTTTTTAATTATGAATTAAATTTCCTTAAGAGTTCTTCAGTTTCTCTGTTTCTTCTTGGGTGAGCTTTGACAATTTGGGTCTTTCAAGAAACTTTTCCAGTTCAATCGAGTTGCTGCGTTTATTGGCATCAAGTTGTCCCTAACATTCCCCACCCTTTCAATATCTGTAGGATCTGTAACGTTGTCCTACTTTCATTGCTACACCATGTCTCTTTTTCTCCTGATCAACTTTATTGTTCTTTTCAAAGTATCAGCATTTTGTTTCATTTATTTTCTCTACTGTTTTTCCATTTTCTATTCCTGACAACTTTCTGATTCCTCACTCTCCCACAGGCATAAAACTATAATTTTAAAAACTAATAACAGCTGAAATGTGTGGAGGGCTGACTCTGACTGGGATCCTTGTACTGAGAGGTAGGAGGCATGATCCCATCTTACAGATGAAGAAACTGAGGTGCCGGAGGCAACACTTGCTTAAGAATGCACGCTGGAACATGGCAGTTTTGAGATGCATGAGCTCATAAGAAGGTGAGGCAAGGTGGGGCCGTGGATAGAACCCAGGCCCCCCACCCCTTGCATATTCAGGTGGGGCGGGGAGGAGGGAGCAGAGCACAGCAGGTGAGGACAGTCAGGGAGGGGGAGAGAATTGGGGCCAAAGTGCCTGAGAAGAGGGAGGGTGGCTGGGGAGTCCAGCAGGGGATGTCTAAGAACTGCCCATGGGTCCAGCAGCAGGAGTGTCCCTGGTGACCATGCTGGGAGCCTGTGGTCCCATGAAAATCTTAATGCCCCCTACCTCCCTGCCCAACTCTCAAAGTGACTCATGTGGATGGCAAATTCAGGGTCTCCCTAGCTCAAGGGGAAGCAGAGACCGTGTCGACAGATTCAGGAGGGAGCAGCCACCAGAGATGCCAAGATCCTGCACCTGGAATCAGGAAATACCAGAAGACTCTGCTCAGCTAACACTCCACATCTTCCCCAGGACCCCCCAGGTGGCACACTGCAGCAGTAAAGATATAAGCTAGACCCTGGGGAGGAATGACAGAAACAACTGCTACTTTCTGAATGGGCAGGAGCAGGCTTAAAAGTCTGAGTCAGAATAGTAGACTTTATTCACATATTCGCACTCCCCCACCTCTGGACTGTGACCAGACCACGGTTCTGAGCCTAGGCTGGGGGACAGGCAGGTGCCCTGGCCCTGGGCAGGGAGGTGGGCAGGGCTCCCAGCCCAGCTCACACATGCTGCTTCCGGTGCCGCAGCACCTCTGTGGGTGTGAATAGAAAGTCCTTCTGGCAGGCCTCGCAGTGGAAGGGCCTCTGCAGGGCAGACACCTTCTGGAGGGGCTCAGGGGCATCTTCCTCAGTCCCTAAGGGAGGAGAGAGGGGCCATGAGGAGGGCTCCACTGAGTGCTTCCACCCCCACCCAAACCCCAGTACCCATGGGGCTTAGGCTCTCTCCTGGCCTTTAGGGAAGAGGGTTTGCCTCCTCTGGGAAGCCATCCTTGATTAATATGCATACACAGGTCAGTCTTTACTCTCTGTCCTCGCCGGTCAGACAGAAGGAAACACACAAGAGACATGGAGACTGAAAGAGACAGAGTGAACCCTCGGTGGGAGCCATGTGGCCTTGCTGTGGTCTCCCTCACTGAACCCTGGTGTGTGGCAAGTGGTGCACTACAGCAGACACTGCAGTGTCCCCTGTGTGACGACAGGGTGGATGTGGCCCAGACAGAGGCAGCTGTAGGACAGAGAAAAGGAACAAGAGACACAGCCACAGAGAGACACAGAGAAACAGAAACAAGGAAACTGTCCAGAGACAGAGACAGTGACACAGAGAGACCAAAGAAAAAGAGAGAAACCAAAGAGAGACAGACAGAAAGAGGTGGTGCTCCCAGCCCTCCCTGCCCTAGGCTCTGGGTCTTCATGACAAGGCCTGTGTATGCCACCAGCCAGGGCCAGAGGGCTGAGGTCATCAGTCCCCAGTGCCCAGTGAACATCCAGATGCACAGGAAGCAACTGTGGGATGGATGAATGGCTGGGCAGACACAGGTGACCCAGGTCCCCCACAGCCCATCCTTGCCTGCGGGGCCATCCTGTGGGGCCTCAGGACAGGCGTTCTCATGGGTGATGCGCTCCAAGGGCGTGAGCGGCATGTGCAGGCCACAGTGGGGGCAGGTCCAGAAGGTGCGCAGGCAATCGCTGTACAGGTCTGTGTCACTCTGCAGCAGGCAGGCCATCAAGGCTGGGCCCCACTGCCCCCACCCCACACCACCGGCTGGACCCTTCCCAGAACCCTCAGGGCTGCAGGCCCTATTGGGAAACCACGTCCCTGGACCATGTAGGACTATGATTGGGAGGGTGTGGGTGGGATCTCCCTAAAATCCCTTCTCCGGGGCAGGAGGATGGGGGGGGCCAAGGTGGGCTCACCGTGAGGCAGTTGTAGGTGAGGAAGTCAGTGACACTGTAGCCCCCCTTGGTAGGGTGGGGGGAAAGGGTAGAGCTGCCAAAGAGGCTGGGGAGTCTGGGGGCAGCCGTGATGGTCTGGGGTCCCACATAAAGGTTCTGGGCTTCCAGCCCTGTTAGTCTCCGGAGGCTGTAGGGAACCTACAGGAAGGAGAGATAGGAGAGAGACAGGCTCAGGGTGAGACCATCTCAGCTCCTGGATACAGCTGTGCTCAAAGCCCTCCCTTGGACATATCAGTTACATAAGCCAATTACTTACGCCCATCACAACTTGGTTTCAGACACTCACGACCAGAAGCTTGTCTCAAACATGCCCTGACGCCCCATCCCCCATTCAACTGCCTTCCCTCGTCCCCTCCTCTGCTCCGTTGCTGGTGGGACCATATCCAGACCTTGAGTCTGGCCTTCAAGTCTGGCCACCTTGGCCCTCCTCCTCCTCGCCCTCTCCACGTCAGCACTGTTCCCCTTTCCCTGGCTCACTGGGTTTCTGCCCTTTGTCCTCAGCCCCTCTACTCCTCTGGGAAGTCATCCTGGATTGCACCCTTCTCCCCACCACGCTCACATGAAGTAGAATCAGAAACAATTCTTGACTCCCCACTTAAGAGTTGGAGATTGATTTCAAGTCTGCTCCATCCAATTCTTTTTCTCTGTCCTCCATGGACAGATAACTACAGCTTCCTTCTCACATCCTGAATACCCTTAACTATTAGTTGGGGGTAACATGCACCACAGGTGCAGCAGGTGCTTAATAAATACCTACTGAGTGAGTGATGCAGGTGGCACAGGGCAGTGGTTAGTCGAGTGGCCACTGGAGCCCGGCTCTTGGATCCAATCCTGGTTCCACCCTTTAATCAGCTGTGTGACCTTGGGCAAATCACTTAAACTCTTTGGCTTGAAAACTCTCAAATGTGCCTACACTGAGTGAACTGGAAGCCAGGCCTTTCCAAGTCTCAACCCCTGTGGCAGACGCCCTCCAGCCACAGGCAGGCACAGGCACCCTGGGTACCAGGTACCTTGGATGCCATGAACTGCAGCAGTTCCCTGCTCAGGGCTGCCATCTCCTTGCAGCTGGCCAGCAGATCCTGTTCCTCTTCCTCCTCCTCTGGCCGCTGCTGAGCCTTGCGAGCCAGCTGCCAGTCCAAGGTACTTTCCCACTGGGCACGGAGCCTCAGGGAAGCTGCAAGGAGCCGGACGGCACTCTCGCTGTCTGCCAGCTGCAGCTCTAGCCAGCCATCGGCTACCAGGCGGGAGCAGTCACCATTGGTGTCCAGGGACTGACTGAACAGCAGGAGGGACTGGAAGAGAGGGAGTAGGAAACAGGGACTGGGTGTGAGGGGTAGGACATCACTTTAGAAAGAACCCCACCCAGCTGGGCTCATGCCCACCCACCCATTCATCCACTCACCCATCCATCCACCCACCCTACCTACCTGTCTATCCGTCCACCCATCCATCCACCTCCCCATCCATCCTTCTAACCACCCAATGGACACTTCCTGCAAGCTTACTCTGCCAGGCACTCTTCCAGGTGCTGAGATACAACTCTGAACAAGAAAGACAAAGCCTCTGCCCCGCTAGAGCTGATATGTGACTTGCAGAGACAGACTATAAACAAGATTAAAGAGTAAAATACAGAGCATGTCCTAAGAAGCAGCTACATCAGGGAAGGGGGCACAGGAGTGGTGGGGGCAGCAGGGGTAGCATATTTTAGAGTGCTGGGAGAGGGAGGGGCTGCATGTTAAAATAGGATGGCTGAGGGATGACACTCACACACATCCACAACGTGGAGGGAAAGAACCCAGACACCGAGCGCACACTCACCTATGGGGACAGAAGTCAGGGTGGTAATTACAAATGCTGACAGGGCAGGGGAGAAGATGGGACAAGACTAATGATTTGGGGGCTGGGTGAAGGTGCACGAGGGTTCAATACACCATTCTGCCTACTATTGTGTACGTCTGAATCCTCCATCATAAACAAGTTGTAAAAGGGGAGGAGAGATTACAACGTCGGGCAGCACCTCAGCCAGCAGACCTGTTTCCTCCTGCGGTCCTGCTGGTGGCCAGCACTCTCTGTCCCTCACCCTGCTTATTTGCCTCTTTAGAGTGCTTGGATGAGCATCTGGCATTGCCTTTTTTATTTTTGTGTTTTTGTTTACTGTCTGCCTCACCCATCATATAGGAGCCCCACAGGGAGTTTTGTCGATTTGGACAATGGCTGCGTCCCTGGCACCTAGAATAGTAATGGTGCCTGGCACAAGGTAGGTGCTCAAGACCCATCCGGATAACTATAGAAATGAGCAGAGCTTGCCTGGTGTCAGTGGAAATCAGTGTGTCAACAAAGCCTCCTGAGGCTCTGGGAGCCCACAGGATTTCTCTCTTCCCTGTTATGTTCTCTGGGACCAAATCGAGGGGGTCCTGGTAATGTGGACATTCACCAATGAGGGTGCAGCATGTGACCTTGGAGCTCTGGCTTGGCCACTTGCTATGTGACTTAGGAAGTGACCTGCCCCCACCTTGAGCTTCAGTCTTCTTTATAAAGTGACAATCGCAAGGCTGTTCAAGGACTCACACAGGTCAGGCCTGGGGCCACAGGGTGACACGCAGTGAGCACTCAAGGTACAGCAGCTACCACTGTCAGGACCATCACTTTCTGGCTACACACATACACAAGTGTATCTGCAATCTAAGCATGTCCTCAGCCTCTGGCCGGTGCCAGCCACCATCCTCTCTGGACTGGATGGCCGCAGTCAGCTCCTTGCTGGGATCCCTGCTTCTGCCCCACACCAGACCCTGTCCCAGCTCTGCTCAGAACCCTCCCAGGGCTTCTGCCCCACCACCTGCCTCTGACCCCATCTCCAGCCACACTCCCACTCACCAACTCTGCCTCAACATTTTCCAGAGCACACCAGGCATGTGTCTGCCCCAGGCCTCTGAACGTGCCATCCCTCTGCCTGGGACGCTCTTCCCCCAGAGATCCACATGGCTCCCTCCCTCCCTCCAGGTCTTTGCTCAATTACTCTTTCTCTATGATGCCCACCACGATCACCAGATCTACAACCTGTGCCCTACCCTCGCCCTTTACCCCCTTACCCTACTCTTTATTTTGCCCTAACATTTATCACCTCTAACCACCTCTAACGGATCATTTTGAGCTCTACTGTGTTTGTTGCTATTGTCTGTCCTCCCCTGCTAGGTGAGCCCCAGGAGGTCAGGGCTGGGGCTGTTGCCCTGTTCACTTCTGTTTTCAGAGCCTGGAACAGTGCCTGGCACATAGCAGGCACTTGGCAAGTAATTGTTGAGCAAATCCATGAATGAAAAAGATAGCAGCCACACTGACAGTCTGCAGTCCACGGCTGAGGCCTACAGCCAGTGTGGTGGAAGGCGGCTCCTCCAGGCCCACCAACGCAGCTATCAAACCTGGGAGTCGGAGGGGTGTGGGGCAGAGACGCACCTGGAGGGCAGGGATGCGGACGCAGTTCACCAGGTAGGGCTTGTTGGTCTCCAACAGGGATACAAAGGTGAGGAGCTGGTGTTGGCTACTCATCTTGTCTTTGACATCTAAAAGGTTGAAGAGAATAGCTCAGGCTCACCCCAGCCACCCGACTCTCCCCACCTATCCCCTCAGGCCTGCCTGCCCCATGTGGTCAAGTTATACATCCATATAAAGAAAATGCTAGGGCCGAACCCGTGGCTCACTCGGGAGAGTGCGGCGCTGGGAGCGCCGAGGCCCCGGGTTTGGATCCTACATGGGGATGGCCAGTGTGCTCACTGGCTGAGCATGGTGCGGGCGACAGCAAGCCAAGGGTTCCGATCCCCTTACCGGTCACAAAAGAAAAAAAAAAAAAAAAAGAAAGAAAATGCTCATGTGAATAACAATAAAATGTCTGCAACTTATTTTTAAATACTTTGCCACAATGAATATGCCTATTTGACAGCATTAAGGATTCGTTGTTAATTTTGTTAGGAGTAATAACAGCATTATAGTAATGCGAAAAATGGCCCTTATTATTTTTACTACTAAATGACCTGATGTCCAGGATCAGCTATAAAATGCTCCAGCAAGAAGGAAAAAAAAGTAAGGGGACAGAAGAAACAAGGACAGCAAAATGTTGATGGTAATTAAAGCTGGGTGAGGGCACCAGGGCTTCATCACACTCTACTTGAATGATGTTTGGAAATTTTCAAAAATTTTAAAAAAGGAGAAAAACAACGTAATAGGAAGAGGGTAAATTGACTAGGAATTTATTTTTTTATTACTGTAACACAGTTGATTATACATACCTGTGAGGTACAGAATTGAATATCAATACCTGTGTGCAATATGTGATGCTCAAATCAGGATAATGAGTACATTCAACAATGTACAAAATAATCATTTTTCATGGCCCTTTACTGTTTGAAGGAATTTACAGCTGTTAAAGATTAGGGAGAAAAGTTTCCAATTCTACCTTATAATTTAAAATGATAAACCTTATCTTTTTGGATTAATGTGAGGGGTCTACAAAAAGTTCACTAAAAATGCATATTATGAAAATACTATGATAGGTTTCCAGATTTTTTGGCACGAAAATAAACTAATACAAACCTGTTATAACATATCTGAACAGCATCTAGTTTGAAGCGCTAAGAAAGATAAGACATCAGTTTGAAAAGAAGCCCTATCACAAATTCTGCTAAGACTGAAGAACAAATACCAAATGTACGGTGAGGCTTGGGTGGAAGAAAGGCGAAATAATTGATGGCTTTATGGAAAGTTTATGGGGACAATGCCCCAAAGAAATCAGCAGTTTACAAATGAAAAACTCGTTTTAAGAAGAGACAAGACAGAGCTGGCAGGTTAGCTCAGTTGGTTAGAGCACAGCCTCATAATCCCAAGGTCATGGGTATGGATCCCATGGGATGGGATCCAGCCAGCCACCAAAATAAAAAAAGAAGAGACAAGACAATGTTGCAGATGAAGCCCACAGCAGCAGACCATCCACATCAATTTGCGAGGAAAAAATCAATCTTGTTCATGCCCTAATTGAAAGGGACCAATGATTAACAGCAGAAACAACAACCAATACCACAGACATCTCAATTGATTCAGCTTATATAATTCTGACTGAAAAATTACAGTTGAGCAAACCTTCCCCTCGATGGGAGCCAAAACTGTTGCACCCAGATGAGCTACAGACGAGAGCAGACCTTTCAATGAAAATTTTAAACAAGTGAGATCAAGATCCTGAAGTATTTCCTTGAAGAACTGTAACAGGAAATGAAACATGGCTTTACCAGTACGATCCTGAAGACAAAGCACAATCAAAGCCATGGCCACCAAGAGGTGACAGCGGTCCAGCCTAAACAAAAGAGTGGACCAGTCAAGAGCAATGGTCATGGCAACAGTTTTTTGGGTTGCTCAAGGCATTTTGCTTCTTGACTTTCTGGAGGGTCAAAGAATAACATCTGCTTATAATGCGAGTGTTTGGAGAAAGTCAGCCAAAGCTTCAGCAGAGAAACGCCCGGGAGAGCTTCACCAGAGAGTTGTTCTCTACCATGAAAATGCTCCTGCTCACTCCTCTCATCAAACGAGGGCAATTTTTGTGACAGTTTTGATGGGAAATCATTAGGCATCCACCTTACAGTCCTGATTTGGCTCCTTCTAACTTCTTTTCATTTTCTAATCTTAAAAAATATTTAAAGGGCACCCATTTTTCTTCAGTTAATAACATAAAAGACTGCATTGACATGGTTAAGTTCCCAGGATTCTCGGTTCCTTAGGGATGGACTAAATGGCTGGTGTCATTGCTTACAAAAGTGTCCTAAACTTGACGGAGCTTATGTTGAGAAATAAAGTTTACATTTTTTATTTTCATATTTTAATTCCATATTTCCACAAACTTTTTGAAGTCCCCTCATATTTATCACTTTAATAAAGCATGTCACTTTCTCTACACATAGGAGGAAGATGAGCTGCGTTCCAGAGCTCGGCTAAAATACATAACTAGCAATTGAGGTTTCAGGAGTAAAGCCCCTGTCCAAGCACACTGGCAGTACCCTTCAGAAGGGTGCCCTGGGCTGAGACCTGACTGGTCCTGTGTGTAGGCACCCAGCTGAGGCTCAGGTGGCCCAGCTCCAACTAGAAGGTTGGCCAAATCTGCATCTGACTGCTAGCATGCAGCCATGTCTGTGGCAAGATGCCCTTCTGTGTGTGCGGGGCAGGGGAGCCTCCCACTGCAGGACCAAGTTGGGGAGCTCATGGAACCATGGCTCAGATCTCCTGATGGGTGCTCTGTTACTTGGAAATGGCCACACTGGTCCAAGTCAGCCAACTCCAAGGGCAAGGCTCAGTGTGGGAGTGGTCCACTCAAGGCCACCCAGCGAGGTCTGGCCCTCAGAACCTCCTTTTCCTACAGGCCCCGTGCCAGCAGCACAAGCATAGGTGGGGTATGGGAAGCAGCAAGGGGGAACCCCAGCCAGTGAGGGGCCCCTGAGGTCACTGTGTAACTGCCCTTCACATCCCAGATGGGGGCTCCCTCCCACCTGGGCTCCCTGTACCTCGGGTCCTTTCGCTGCCCCTAGTCTCCTGCTCCGGTGTGTACAGCACCTCAGGGCTGCTGGCGAAGACACAGGTGGGGTGCAGCACGGTGCCCTGCTTGGCCTGGGTGTGGAAAATCTGCAGAGGCCAAAAGTGAAGCAGAGGCCCTCTGACCTGCTCTTCCACTATCTGGGATGCTCTTCCTTCACCCTCTTGGCTAGGTCCCCTCCTCCAGGAAGCCCTCCCTGAACCCCTCCAGGCTGGGTCAGGTGCTCCCTCTGAGCTCCCACAGCCCCTTGGGTTCCACCACCCCAGCCCTGCCCTCTCTGTCTGCTGGGGTACTCTGTCTGCCCCACTGGACTGTGAGCCCCACGAGGGCAGGACCAGGGCTGTTTCAGTCACCACTGTGTCCCCAGCACAGAGCAGGCACTTTGGAAATATGTGTCGAATGACAAAACAAACACGGGGATGGGAGTGGGGAGAGGACCCACCTGATCTGAGTCCTTGCGGCCACTGTTGAACGGGTCCGGGATGGCAAGCTGGGGATAGAGGCCCCGGCCCAGCACTAGCTTGAGCAGGGCCATTTGATCACGGGTCAGGGCCTGGGCCGAGCTGGCAGCTGCCTGCAGCTGCTCCAGGTTGTGCCGGAGCTTAAACTTTACATCCTTGTGGGAACACAAGAAAGGCAGGTTCCAGGGGGACCCTCCCCACTACCTAAGTGGCCTGTACTACGTACTACGACACATGGACCCAAAGGGTTCTGTAGACCACTGGGGTCCTGTCCATGGTAACCTGGTTCCTGAGGTGAAGGCAGGGCCTGTCCCCTCAGAGTCCAGGGCAGAACCGGTCCCTTCATGCCCCAGGGCAATGCCATGTCTTCTTAGACCCAGGGAAGGGCCATGTCCCTTCATGCCCCAGGGCAAGGCCATGTCACCTCAGACCCCAGGGCAGGGCCCCTCTGGTAAACTCCACCCTGCCACCCCAGCACTAGACAACCCTTCGTGCCCCACCTGGATGTCCACACCATCATCAGCCCCCTGGGAGGCTGGGCCAGCCTGGTCTTCATCGCTGGAGCAGCCGCCTGGGTCCTCCTGCAGCTGCAGCACCTTGCGCCTGCGCCCCCTGCTCTCCTCGTGCTGGCGCTTCAGCTGATACAGTGCCCGGCGCTCACGGCGCTGCTGTAGCCGACTATAGCTGTCCCCTGGCTTCACAGCCTGGCCCCCAGCCAGCAGCCCATGATCCTCCAACAGCTCCTGGGGGCAGGTGAGGCATGAGTGAGAAACACGAGGCAGGCTGAATTGGCTCCAGACTCCAATACGGGCTCAAGTCTGGGGCTTGTCACTTGCCAGCAAGCAACCTCATCCTTCTGTGGGATCCTTCAAATGGGAAATGAGGATCATCCCAGTACCTCCCCACTAGGGCTGTTACGTCTGAAGGGGACTGGATAAGAACAACCCTCTGTACAACGCCAGGCAAGCGTAACTGCTCTGTGAAAGAAAGCAGTCATCTATTGTCATGGTTAGCCAACATAATGCCTGGGCCAGGGACAGGAGGTTCCAGCGCCCTCTCCCCACAGCCGCGTCCAGGATCTGGCCATTGCCTCCACCTGCCCCTTAGGCCTGGGGGGGCCTGTGCTTCACCAGTCCCAGAGTGCCACACCAGCCCTGTGGGTTTCCTACACTAGTGCTTCTCAAAGTGTGGGCCTATGACCAACAGAGGCAGTATCTGGGACATCTGGGGACTTAGCAGAAAAGCCAAGTCTCAGACTCCATCCCAGACTGACCAAGTCATAATCTCAGGGGGTGGGGCCAGGAAAGTGACTCTGATGCACATTAAAGTTGAGGTTCCCCTGCCCTCCACCCTACCCAACCCTTTGTAAATAGTCCTCAAATGACCCGGCGTGATTGGCCCGTTTCCTGCTGAGCCCCTCACCAACAGAGGATGCGGGATATTGCACACGTGTGTGTGTTAGTGTGTGTGTACAAAAGGGCCCACACCTTTCATTAGATTCTCAAAGTGTCTGGGGCCAACAAAGGTTGAACACTGCTCTAGAAGCTAGGGACAGAGATAGATGCTGAGAGCAGTTGGGACATCAGTGGTCCCCAACAAAAGAAACTGAGCAGGAGGCTTTGGCCAGGTGACTGCCCACTCTGGGCCACAATTTGCCCATCTGCAACCAAAGGAAATGGATTATACCAAGGACTCTTTTACTCTATTTTCATTCCATGGATACTGCATGACCACTGAAAAGTACATAGCAGCAGATCTTTTTGTACTCAACAGGAGACACATCCGTGGAATGTTAATGAAACAAACAAGTTGCAGAACCATCTGGTATAGAAGGAATCCATTTATAATTTAAAAGAAAATTATCTGTCCACTCACCTATGTAATAATGATAGTAATAGTAATTGCAGGCACTCGTACAAGACCACCTACATGCTATGCCCTGTTCCAAGTGCTCTATGTGTGTTAACTGATTTAATCCTCACAGGAAGGCTGTGAGGTAGGTGCTATTTTTATCATCTCTGTTTCAGAGGGGAAGCTGAGGCCCACAATCAGTAATGTACCCAGGGTCACACTGTTAGCAAATGGCAGAGCTAGGATTTGCCACTGGGATGTCCGGCTCTGGATTAGTTGGCTCAAACCATCACCCTAAGCTGCCTCCCAGCACTCAGCCTGTGCTGCCAGTTCAGTACATCTGATCCAGAGGGCAAGGTTCTTCCTGAGGATGAGGAATGTCACTGCTGACCCTGTCCACTTCCTCCAGGGATCCCTCCTGGATTTCTACCCCTTTGGCCCTGCCTAGGCTGCCCCATGCCTGGTCATCTGCTGGTTGGGAAGGTGGAGGTAGGGTGGGACTCTGGCCTGATCACTGTCAGGCAAGGAGAGAGGGAGTGGTCTGGAGTGTGCTCACACCCTGTCTGCTTGGGTGGGACCAGTCCCCACCCCTCTTCCTGTGCCTCACCTTGAACTGGCGACGCAAGTTGGCCATCTCGTACAGCCGATGCTCCTCTATGCCCCGACTGCGGCACCACTTGCGTGTGTTTCTGCTCCGTTCAGATTTCACCTGGGTAGAAGTGAGTTGTCAGGGCCTAGCCAACTCAGGGGGCAGGGGGGCTGACCCACCACCCAGACTGCCCCAGCATGGGCCCAAACACCACCCCCTGGGAGGATGAGAGGAAGGTGGGTCAGCCCTCCCCCAGAAACACCTGCTCTCCTCCTTCCAGGTCTCACCCCCAATGCCCTGTTGTATAAGAAAATTTCCCAGACTCCCATACTGGGTCAGGTACCCCCTCTGGCCTCTCCCAACCCTTTGGTCTCCCCATCCCAGCCCTCTTGGGTTGTCAGTGTCTAGGGATGGGTCTGTCTCTCTGCACTTGGCTGTGCGACCCAAGAGGACAAGACTACAGTAGTTTTGGCCACCAGTGGGTCCCTAGCACTGCCCTATATGGGGCAATGATCAGAGCCAGGGCCCGATGTGTGTTGGATCTACAGATGCCACCCTAAGGAGACTGGACCTTCTTCAGGTGGCACTGGTTTTAATCAGTGCTTTAGGAACCCCAAGTTTCCTGTCAAACCTGGGCCTGGTATGTGCTGTCCCCTCAGCTCAAAAGCATGAATGGTGGAGATGTGGTTTTCCCCAGGTAGGCCCAGTCTGCTCTGGAGAGCTCAGTGGTCTTGCCTGCGGTGGGGTGGGGGTGTGGCACAAGGAGAAGTCACAGCTGAAGGAGGCCCTGACCTCCTGCAGAATGACAGACAGAGAGGCCCCACTGCCAGGTCACCTGCACCCAGGTGTTGAAGACGTTGAAGAGTGTGAAGGGGTCACCCTGGTCACTCTCCAGTGGCCGCCGTGCTGCCATACATTCTGGACTGCTCTGGGCACTGCGGGTGAAGGGTGACTGGACGCTGAGGGCAGCCGCGATGGTAAGCACTGGCTCTGCCAGGCTGAACATGGAGCCCAGAATCAGCATCTTCCCTGCGGCCAGCAGACAGACACTGGGCTGAGCCTCTGGGTGCTGGGATAGCTGCGCCCCTCACCACTCAGGGTCCCCTAACCCATCCTGCCCCCACCTCCCCCTATCTCGCCCACAAAGGGCATGGAGAGCCAGATAGATTCAAACCCCACACTGTGATATCTGGTCATGTGACCTCAGGCAAGGGCCCGTTTCCCCTCCTGTAGATTAGAGATAACCGCAGGGCCAGCCTCCTCAGGAACGTAGGGGACACTGTCTAAGTGCTGACTACTACTGTCAGCAATGTCACTGTCTTCCCTACTCTTCCAGTTACAACTGACTCCCCGGCACTCGTTTTGAACTGCCAAGGTCCCCCTCTACATTGTGAACTGAACGTTGGCTGTGGCTTGGTCTGCTCTGGCACACAGCAGGTGCTGACTTTTGTGCCTACTGCAGAATGAATCTTCTGCCATCTTCGTTGGAAGCACAGGCGGAAGGGTGAGGTGGAAGGTAAAGAGGGAAGAGGAGAAAGAAGGGGGAGAGAGGCAGGGAAAGGGGGAGGAGGGGAAGAAGGGAGGACAGGGAAGGACACAGAGACGCAAATGGGTAGGAATAGTATTCCCACGTGGCCAAAGAACTGGGGGAAACGTCTCCATTTGCAAGCACTGGTCAATAGAAACTAGACTTCCCCTGTTTCTGGGGACCTGAGAAGACACTGGACCTCATGGGACCCTTGGGCCCCACCTGCCTGCCCCATGGCCAGTGGTCCACATGTCACGTGTCTAGATTTGCCCTCACCGTTCCCTTTGACTGTCTTTACACAAAGTGCCTGTCACAGGGCTGGCCTCATGACATAAAGGTGAGCAGAAAGCAAGTCCTATTCCAGGACCCTCTAGCTCTGTCACCTGGGGCAACTCCCTGTGCTTCTGTTTCCCCATCTATAAAAGGGGGTAACAGCAGCATCTATCTCTCCTCTTAGGGCTGCCATGAGGATTAACTGTTTCACCTTGTGAAGCCTCAGAACTGCACCTGGTGCAGAGGACAGTAACTGAGCCATCTGGGCCCAGGACCACCCCGGCGCAGGCCATCTGAGCCTCCCAACTCTGCAGTTGTAGGACCCACTGGGCTAGTGAGTGAGCACCAGCCATTCTCTGAACCTTGGTTTCCTCAGATGGAAAGTGAAGTCACTTACTCCCAGCCTGCATGAGGCACTTAGCATCACATTTGATCAAAGTCAGGCTCTCTCACTCACTTGTTCCACGCCTTCAGGCACATGTCAGCTCCCCACTATGCCTCAGTTTCCTCATCTGTACATCTGGAGCAATCAGAGGCCCTGTCCTCAGCAGGTGAGGATAAAATGATATGAAGTCCCTAAAGCTGGCATACAGAGTGTTCGTGAAACATTATTTTGCTTCCCAGCTCTGATTCTCCTTACTCTAGCCCTGTTTCCATTTTTGGTTTTGGGGGTTTTTTTTTTTTTTTTTGGCAGCTGCCAGTACATGGATCTGAACCCGTTACCTCGGTGTTACCAGCACCACTCTAACCAAGTGGGCTGACTGGCCAGTCTACCCTTGTTTCCTTCTAAAACAAGCAAAAATAACCATCATCTTAGCCCTGGGAGGCCCTCACAGTCCATCACCTCCAGCCTCCTGCCCACTCTGAGGTCCTGCCGTGTTGCTATGATACGGGACCTTAAAGTTGTTAATTCCAAAGACTCTGCTGAGCAACATGCTCCACAGGAAATGGTGTCCTGGGTGGTCCTGCCGAGGCAGGAATATTGTGTGGGCTGTTGGTGGAAACAGAATGTCTTCAATCAGGAGAATCAGGCAAGAAGAACGTGCCTCGGCCAGTGGCTCCCCTAGAGGGGCAAGGATGACTCAAGAATGAGGGGCTGGCCCGGTGGCACACTGCGCTAGTGCGCCGCTTGGGAAGCGCGGCAGCGCTCCCGCCGAGGGTTCGGATCCCACATACAGACCGGTTCCCGCTCACTGGCTGA